CCAGGTGGAGAGAGGTGGAGGGATGGATAAGGAAGACTCAGTAGGTCTTGGGGAGTGAGGGAGGGACAGAAGGGGAGGCCCCAGTGAGCCCTGGGGTCCAGCTTTGTGACCAGATGCCTGACTCCTCTGCACTGGCAAGGAGCGCATTCTACGGGAGGGGTCTATCAAGGGGCCCTAGAGGGGCCTCATGCACCAATGAACCCCTGTGACCCCCCTTCCAGAACCTGCCCAAGCCGTGCATGCAAACGGGCCCTTTGCAGTTGCTTTGGTTTTGGCCTTCCCAGCAAAGACAATTTTCCTAAATGTTCCCTGGCAGGCAAATGGGGACACTTGAGCACACAGAGACACTGTCCAGGAAATTCATAATGTCTTTTATTAATATATTATGCTACAAAAATATTTTTGGCAAAATAATATTAATAGCATCTTTCTTTGTCTTCTATTATATTCTTAAAGAACATTTCAAGATCATTCACAGAGGGGAGGGAGAGGTGATTAAAGAAAAACATCACGAATACTTTTCAAACACATTAAGATCTGAAGCTTGTGTCACACAGTGAGTTGGGCTGGGGCCTTCTACAATCTCTTTGAGGCCCAGGAATGGAGCAGGGTTCCAGCCGCACCTCCTCGGGACGGGGCTTCCTTGGCCAAGACAGCCCCCACCACCCAGCTACCGCGCACACAGAACGTCCGAGAGCCCCACGACCAACCCCGCAGACTTGGGTCTCAGTGGAAGCCCGCTTGCCCTGCCTGTCTGGGACGTGGGCTGGAGGCCCTTCAAGGCAGGCGGCTCTGCTCCTGTCCTGCCTGTCACATCCCAAGCCCCAGGGCACCCTGCGGTCCCAGAAGGAAAAGGCGTGCACTGAGTCTGGGCGGGGAGATACCTGTATGAAGCCCCGAGATTGCACATGGCGTTACCCCAGTTCTCCCCCTCCCCCCAGCAGGAAATAAATCCTCCTTTGGACAGATGAGAAAACACGCTCAGAGGGGGCAGGGACTTGACATGTTCACCCAGCGAAATGGAGATGCAGCCAGAGAATCTCAGAAGGAAGACCTTGTGTTTGGAGAAAGTGAGAGCTGTCAGGGTGCTGATACTCCTGGGGAAGGGCCAGGTAGGGGTCCAGTCACCCCTCATGAACCCTGTCTTTCCTTCCCCATGATGACTGGCGGGGGGGGGGCGGTGCTTCTGGGCTCCCCCCAGTCCTCCCCAGCTGCCCATAAGTCCCCCGCCTCTGCCCTAGGGCTGCAGACATACCAGCCAATTCACCAGCTGACGCCACGCAGGGCTGGGCCGCTCAAGAATGCAGGGGGGCACGTGTGGGGGAGTGAGGCTGGCTGGACTGATTCCTGAGCTTTACTGTTTTAGACAGTCGGTCGGGTTTTGTTTTGTTTTGCTTTGTTTTTTGGCTGCTTAGATGAATTTTTGGAAAAATAACAATGTTCAAAGAACCCGAGTATTACGGAGCCAGGAGAAACCCTTGATTGTCATCAAACCCTGTCCTCCGCCAAGACCTCAACTCTCCACCACCCTCCGGCCAGTAGGCCTCCTGTCCTGTTTATATACCTGGCCTGGCAGGAAATTCACTACCCGCAGGGTTATGTGTCCTCCTCAGACACTTTTGGCTTTGTAGAGATTGTCTCACTAGCAGAACTGAGGTCCGCCTCTCTCCCTTCCTCTCTTCCTCCTTCCCTCACACTTTGGGGCGCCATCCTCGCCTCAGTTGAGGATACAAAGATGAATTCATATGGCCCCTGCCATCGAGGAGCTCACAGTCCCATAGGGAAGCAGAATTACAATTAGACAGTGTGAATACTGACTATCAGCACAACTTAGGTGTGTGACAGGTGCTAAGAAAGCACAAAGGAATCACAGAAGGCTTCCTGGAAGAGGTGCTCTGAGAGCTGATCCCCATAGGATGAGCACTTGGGAAGAGTGTTCAGGTCAAGGGGGCAACATGTGTGAAACATCCTGTCTAAATGACAAATATGACTCAGGCTGGCCAGGCCCAGAGTGGGAGAGTCGAGGGGGGACTGGAGAGGACTGCAGGGCCAGGGAGAGTCCAGATGCTACAGAAGGAATTTAGTTCTTGTCCCATGGTCTCCGAAACACTATCTCCAGCCCCAGTTCTGTCCTCTGCCACATAGGATTCCATTGCAGCTGCACTTCCCTCTGGGTGGAGGACCATTCTCTGAGGTCTGCTGTGACAATGACACTAGGTTAGAGAATGAGCAGGTGGGATGAGGGGGACGGGTGATTTGAGGCCCCAGACTTGCCCTAGTCTAGAGGAGGCCAGGAAGTAGATGGAGAAACATTTAACACAAGAAAAATTTGTTCTTGTTCTTTCAGCATAAAGCAAAGTGCCAGTTAGCACTGGTCCTCACACTCCCTGGACATGGGTTTTGACTCTCAGAGCTGGAGAGCTCTGGGGGTGTTCCTGGCAGCTCCATCTCATTGATCCTGCCTGCTGGTGTGTCAGCCTGGAGGACTAGAGGTCATGGCTTTACTGACAGACCCCAGAAAGCCCCCTAGTCACCTGGCCAGCTTTCCCGAGACAGTGAGGCCACATAAAGCCACCATTAACATGTCTCTCCCCTGACAAAGTTCACTTAACCTGCTGGGTCTTGATTCTTCTCACCTGACTACCTCAGTTTCAAATGGGAAAGTCCTATGAAATGCACACAATTCTCTTAAAGCAATGGCATTTTATGAGGCGAGGCACATGGGACACGACGGAAAAAAATATGCGCCTTGACAGAAAGATGACGCCAAAGAGCGTGAGAGACTATGGAAGGAAGCTCTGGCCCGGGATGAGAGCGCTCGAGAGCCCCATGCAGACTCTGTGATGTGCCCCAGGTCATGGCAGCGGGCTCAGGGTGAAATGACTCAACTCTGGCTGGCAGGTCGTCCCTGGGGATTAGCAGACTCAGGCTCAGATGCTGACCCACATAGGCTTGGCTGTCCATGGACACAGCGCTCTCTAATCAGCTGGCCTGTCCATCTGCCTATCCACCTTTCTTTAAACACTTGTGTGCTTATTCAAGGGGGACTTTGGAATCCCCCCATCTTCCCAGAGGGACCTGGGAGAGACTAGGGCTCAATCTGCCTGGCAGGGCTCAGGACAGAAGAGCCTCTGAAGTCCATTCTGGGAACCTAGGGCCAGACTGCCGTTCCATCTCGGTTATGAGCTTCTCCCCGCCAGGAAAGGCAGCTGGATTTGGCCCGACACAGAGCCTGGTGCTGAGTGGGTGCCATCAGCACACAGTGAGTTCATTTACCTCTTTGGCCTGGAGCCTGGCACAGACTTGGGCACGCGGTCAGGTGCCCGGACTGTTTACCCAAACGCTTCATCTTTAATTAGCCTCAAGCTCCCTCTTCATCCATCTCATGCCACACTCTGCCCTGTGCAGAGGGAAATCTGGCCTGTGTGTTTCTGATTCTTTTACACTTATCTCATCCAAATGGCGCTCTGTACAACCGGCTTGATGTCCAACAGCCCTTTGGAGCCCGCTTTATAAGTCAGCTAAGCCCCTTCCAGCTCCGAAATAGGAAGTCACATTTCTGCCAAGGATAAACGGACTCCAGACCTGGCTGGGGTCAAGTTCAGTTTAGAGCGTGGTGCCCATGGGGCTGGCTGGACCCTCTGAGGCAGAGCTCAGAGATCATGCCAGGTCTCAGGCTCAAACACATCCATTCCTGGCTGAGCTCAAAAGAATTCAGCTGCCGGCCAACATACCCCTGGGAACTCTGACCATCCCGCAAGCTGCCCAGGGCTCTACCTTCTCCAGAGAGACAGCTGCTGTGCTGGGCCTAATCAGACACCGTGGGCCTGCCAGGAAGCTCATGGTGCAGTGACCCTGGAGCACGCTGGACTGGGGGCAGCAGAGCTGCCCAGCTGGGCAGCTTGGGGAAGTGCTTCCACTCTCTGGGTCTTACTATGGCTCTTACTGTTACTACATGTAAAAGGGCGGGGTCCTTCCACTCTTGGGTTCCAGGGCCCTGTAACTGGGCCACAAGCAAAGGCCACCTGGGTCTGCTGTCTGTCACCAGACTGGGGGCAGGAAAGCCAGGCTGGTCTGAGTCTCCTTGTTTTCCTGCCTCCACTCGAGTCTCCGAGGTCTGTAGCAGTCATCCGACACCCAACCTCTGGTTTGGCAGGAGGGCCTCTCATGGGTTCCAAGGCAGGTCTGGGCATGGGGCGTGGCACACCCTGCTGTCAGAGCCCTTTCGCTGGTGGATGCCTTGGTTACTGGCTGGGGCGAGGAGCTGGTACTGGCTTGCTGGGTTGCTCTGCCTCCCTGGGAGCTCCCCGGTGCCCAGGGAGCAGGCAGAAGCACTCTGCCCTGAGCCATGTCCTGGCTGGGTGACCATGAGCAAGTCCCTTCACCTCTGTAGGGCTCAATTTCCCCATCTGTGAAACGAGGACACTCACTTCTCACAGAACACTCGTGATTATCCTTCTGGGTCCACTCCTGCCCTCCAGCCCAGCTCCCGTTGGCTGTGGCTGCTCCTGTCGGCCAAGCCGGCTTAGTAAGATGGGACAGAGCGGTCTGGACTCGCACCCTTGATCCCCCACCTTCTCTTTGGGACTAGGGAACCCTTCCGTCAGCACCAGCACCCCGCTCCCATTATAGGGCTTTGGTGGAAATCTTTCCAAAGAGCTCTGGAGGGCCAGTTCAGACACTCAGGGTTTTCAAAATAGCAGCATTCTCTTTCCTAAAGTATCTTCCCAACCCCGGAGGCACCCAGGGGAAGGAAAGACCGTCACTCTCCACTCTGGCTCCCAAATCCAGCTTCACAAAAGCTAAGCCTGGACATCCTGTTTGAGGTCCCCAAGGTGGGAGAAACCAAACCTGGACTTGAGGCTTCTGCGGACCCAGGAGCCAGCCAGGTCAAAGCCATGGTCAGTTCACAGGCGGTCACAGATGTCCTGGCTACCTGGCCTCACCTCCCGGGTTGGCACTGGGGCTAGTTTAGGATTTATTAACATAGGCCACATAGAGATAGTTTTATCGGTAGAATAAATACATTTGTTTTTTTTTTTAATATGGACACTTATTTTACAAAAGAGCCCCATAGCACTATGGGAAATTAAGATCCTTCTACAAAAAAGAAGATGTAACTTGGTACATTAAAGCTCTAGTGTGCTAACGGATCCCATCTGGACTGCCTATGAGGTGTTGGGCACCCCTGCAGCTGGTGGGAGGGGCAGTGGGTGTGGCCACAGGCCCTCCTGTGGTTTCTCTGGCTTCTCTTTCCCCCTGTGGTAGAGGTCAGGAGGGCCAGCGGGTGTGAAGCAGGAGGCAGGCTGAGAGGCCTGCAGCCATGACGGGGAGGAGGCCCAGGGAGGCGTGGCAGCAGCCGGACACTGAGCTGCTGGCTGGCCTTGTCTCTTCTGGCTGCTGGAGCTGGTCGGAGAACTGCCTGGGGGGCTTGGCGGTCCCAGAGCTGGGTGTGGGTTGGAGGGGCAGCGGCGGTGGGGAGCCAGTGGTGCTGGAGAGAGAAAATACATGAAACGTGGAGTCTTGTCCTGGCCCTGGTCTTGGGGTTCAGGCTTGACTTGAACATTTTTCATGACATGGGAAGAGAAACAAGGGATTCAGACAGAAGTGGTGAACGGCCCAGGGTCTGACATCCTGAGGGCCACGCCCGGCCTGGGACTGGGCTCGGTGGCAAGGCCACAGGCTTCCCCTGTGACCACTGGGAAGGAGGTACAGATCTAGGGCCAGACTCGGGCCTTCAGACACCCTACTGCTGCATGCAGGCACCCTGACCTTCCTGTAGCCCCTCCCTTCTCAGTTTGAGCTAAACAGAAAACAAAGCAGAACACAAGCCAGCCTCACCATCTCCCGCCTTCACAATCACACCTACTGTTTATTGAGTGTCTGGTTCTCAAAACAAGCCTTCTGCACGGTCCTCAGCCCCCTTTCACCAGATGAGAAAACAGGCCCGAGAGGCTCCGTGGTAGCCAGGCCAAGAGGAAGCCACGTGGCCTTCATGGGCGGGACCCCGGGCCCACCTCACGTGGTGGAGCCACAGGAGTTTTACTGAGAACTACTGTTCCTCATGAGCTTATAAAAATATAACCCAGTTTTGGAGGTAACAGGTGAGACGAATGTCTCAAGTGAGCCTACGTGAAAAAGGAGGGAGAGAGACAGAGAAACACAGAGACTGAATGAACAGCTACCCGGCAGCCCAAGGCCAGCACTCAGTGGCTGGGGAGTCAGCTGATGACCAGAATGATGACCAGAGAGGGTCAGTGGGCAAGACAAGCTGGGAAAGCGGTCACATCAGCCACAGGGTGTGACAGAGGCCACAGGGAAGAGGGCTATGGGATGGAGAGAGATAGGGCTGGGTGACCCCATGTGGGGTGCACTCCCACCTATGTGGTGTGGGGTGTTGGGAGGCAGGTGGCGTGCAGACAAGGTTCTGACAAATCTCACCACACCAGAGGGGTAAGTTTCATGAAGCCAGGGTGGGGTGGGAGAGGTGGGAGAAGTGGGGGTGCACAGAAGCCCCTTCTAGGATGGCCTCCCGGAAGAGGACACGTCTCATCAGTCAGCCATGGAGCCAGGAATGTACCTGCACGAGGCTGCAGGCCCCTGATGGGTGAGAGAGGGCCTTACAGGGCCCAGTCCTGTGCCAAGTTCTCACTATTCTTTAACTTGAAACCTCTACACTAGGCAGCAGCAAGCTCTGTTTCACAGATATAGAAATGGAGGCACTAAAGGGTTCAACAACTTGCTCCGGGACCTATGGTAGGGCCCGAGACTGACGGGCCTGCAGCTGGCACTCGCCAGCTGGCAGGTGCTGGGTGGTGGGAGCCTGGCCCTCCCTGGCCAGCCGAAGGTACAGGCAGGCGGAACCGGCGCCGGGCACCTCCTTGGGAGCTGCATTGAGGTGGCCTCCACCCTGTGGGGCACTGCTCTCCTCCCAGTGTTCACCCACAAACTGCTCACTGCCTGGGTCACCAGGGCCTCCCCCTTGGTGGCCCCTTTATTCCACGATGGCCCAACAACTGGAGGAGACCCTGTGCCAGCTCTATCATCATCACCACCACAGACAGGGCCACCGGGGTCCAGGCCCGGGGCCCCCACACAGCCTGGAGCAACCTTGGCCTGGCGGGGGGTGGTGCTCAGCAGTCAGTGTGCACCCCTATCTTCCACCTGGGCTGGGGTCTCTGTTCTGACAGCAGATTCCAATCAACCCCAGTGGGTGAAGGGCCCTCCCTCCCTGCTCCACCCCCACGCCCCTGTTTCTGCTCACACCCCCGCACAGGCTGCATCCTTGCCCCTGCGTCTCTTCTCACCCTGGAGTCTGTGCTCCCCTCAGAGCCCCCAGCAGAGCTGCAGGGAGTAGCGAGCAAACTCCAGCCCCGCACCAGGACACAGGCCAGCCCTCCCCGCTCCCAGCTGCTCAGGCTGAAAGGGCAGGGCAGCAGCTGGGTGGAGCTTTCCTTGTTGTGTGTGGGGTTTTCTTTTATTAGAAAAGCTAGGGAGGGAAAGGGCTGAGGTAATACGCCCCCTCCCCGCCACACTAAGGGTAACTACTCTCTCTCGGCCCGAGGCCATAGGAGACTTCACCTCCGGTCTCCGATACCAGCCAGCCTCCGCACCCTGGGCAGCAAGGCCCCAGCTGGGAGCTGCCCTCTGCTCAGTCAGGGATGCCCCGTGGCCCAGCACCAGGACACACTGTAGAGTGTGCGTGTGGACTGGAGGGCACTCAGCCCCCGCTAACTTCCAGGGCCCCTTATCACCGACACCTGGATGCGTCCTTCAGCCTACCTGGGGTCCCACTCGTGGTGGTCAGGAGCCTGGACCTCATCTTCCAGGGCTTTCCCAGCCACTCTCTCCGGCCGCAGCTGATGTCCTGCTGCCAGCTTCTCCTCACCTGTGAAGGCCTGGCTCAGCGCCCCAGCTCAGTGCGTCAGGCCTGTCCTACACCCCCAATGCCACCTGGGAGGGTTATCTCCCATCAAACCTGGTGCACCTCATGCCCGTCACGCGGTCAGAGGTTCCTTTTTAGGTATAAGGTGTAGAGGGGCTTCTCTGCGCTGTGCTCAGGGTGCGGGGCCCCACACCCTGAAGGCGCTGAGGGCGCGGGCTCGCTGTAGCGGCGTTATTAACAGGGTTACGTCTCCTAACAGCCTCCGTCCACAGAGCACTGCCCGTGCGCTGGTAGAAACCATGCTAGGTGCTCTGCACGTGTCATCGTAGTAGTATTCCCATTTCCAAGTCGTGGAAACAGCCTTCGGGAGATCAGGACACAGATGTACGTGCTCTCGGCCCCCGAGCCTGAGCTGGGCCGCGGGGCATCCCTGACTGAGCAGAGGGCAGCTCCCGGCTGAGGCCTTGCTGCCCAGGGTGTGGAGGCTGGCTGGGATCGGAGGCCGGAGGTGAAGTCTCCTATGGCCTCGGGCCGAGAGAGAGTAGTTACCCTTAGTGTGGCGGGGAGGGGGGCGAATTACCTCAGCCCTTTCCCTCCCTAGCTTTTCTAATAAAGAAAACCCCACACACAACAAGGAAAGCTCCACCCAGCTGCTGCCCTGCCCTTTCAGCCTGAGCAGCTGGGAGCGGGGAGGGCTGGCCTGGGACAGGAGGCTGGCATGCCACTTGGCCTCAGTCAGCTCCTTCTGTCAGAAGAAAGACCAAGTAGGAGTTATGAAAACTATGCCTCACAGGCGCCCAAAGGCATTTGCTTTCACACTTTGAAAACCAAAGATGCCAGCTCCCCCTTGGAGCCCGAGTGGGGTTTTTATTGCTTGGAAGACATCCCAGGGAAATGGGGTGTGAGGTTGGGGGGCAGGGAGGAAAAGTCCCTTCAAATGCTCCCCCCACCTCCCCAGCCCACTGCTCGCAAAGCTCAGTCCCCCAGCTCAGGACGCCCCCTCCCCTTGCTCCTCTGCCTCCAGCCCATGCTGGGGAAAATTGTCTCATGGCAAAGTGGCCTCACAGCCAAACCAAACACTCTGAGTGTTCCCAGGCTCCACAGCCGGCTGGCACCAAGGGGCTTCGTCTGCTCTGAGCCGACGGGGCCCCTTTGCCTGGCTGGAAGAGGCCCCATGCTAGCCTGCCCTGTGCTCCTGTTTGCTGCCTGCCTTTGAGCAAGTCCTGGCCTTTAGCCTCAGTTTCCCCAGGTGTACAATGGAGGCGCAGAAACAGACCAGTCTGTGAAATGCTTTCTTGCAGCAGAAGCCACAGTGAGCACTTAGCCTGAAGCCCCAGGCTATAAAGATGGCAGGATCTGGGTCTCCAGGCTGTGTCTCTCTGGCCACACCAGGGGCTGCTAGGCTGTGCCTTTGGCAACCTCTTTCAAGGTTTGAGGAGATACAGCAGAGGGGACACACAGGGCATGGGGCATGGGTGGGCCTGTTGCTTGGGGGTGGGTTAGACCGGCTAGAGACTCCGCTAGGTTCCAGGCTGGTCCTAGTCTCGCTGGGCCTAGCGGGTCAGACGCAGGCCCAGCTTTTAGGTGACAGGTTTGCCTACAGGTCTTCGCCCTGCTAGCACGCCTTTGGCACACGGCCTTCACTGGGAATGTTTCACCCTTGCCTTGGCCCCCTTGGTCACTCCTGAGCTTGAGGTCCCCCTCACCTGCCGGCCCTCTGGGTTCCTTCTCAGGCACAGGCTGACTATGGCTCCAGGCTCTTTCAACTGGATCTTCTGGGGACATTAAGCCCAGGGTGGCTCACTTAAGGCCATGCTGCAGGCCTGGGAGCCTGGGCCTGGGGGTGGAGGGTGGGGTCTTAGGCTAGACGGAGAGTCTGCCACCAACTCTGGGCACAGCTGTAGCAGGTACCCAGGGGCTCTGCTGGCCTCTGCTTTCCAAGCATCTGCTCTGAGCCACAGACAAGTATGAGGAGAGGCTGGGATTTGCCTCCCATCCTGTCTGAGTATGTCTGTGCTTTCATTTACTGAGTAATCCAGCTTTCCATTTCTCGTGGGGAAATCTCTGACCTGTAATCAGTGCCCTGGCCTCACACAGAGATGCTGACAACCCTGGCCCATCCCAAGAGAAGGCCTGGCTGTGCTAAGAGAAACCAGAACTAGAGAGCCCTGGGCAGCAAGAGGCATAGAACAGGTTCTCTTCCCTCTACAGGGCTTCTGGTCATCTGTTCCCTCGGGGGAATGGAGGCCAGAAGGTCGGTGACCCCAAAAGGCTTTGGGTCTGCCACCTACGCTGTTGCTGCCAGCCGGGCCCAGCACTGGCCCATGGTCCTTCCACCGCACCTGCCCCATAGGCCTCTTTCCCAACCGGACGGCCCAGCACTCTGCACGCCGTTTACCCATCGCTTCACCTCCAGCATAACACACACCACACCCAGCTGTGTCCTGGAAGAAGTACAGAGCGGCTCTGACCTTCATTCAAGGCCTTAGTGGCAGAAAAGGAGAAATTGAGTATTGTCCCGGCTGCCAGACACATGTGGGTGGTGCCGCACACAGCTGGTCGGGGCCTGGCCTCCGCCCCACTTGCCCTGGCCACACCCTGCCTGCTGGCCCCTCCTGGCTCAGATGTGGCGGTTCCCGCTGAGTGCTCTGTCGCTGCTGTGCTTTCACGGTCCCCATAAATCATCCTGCCACGGGCTGCTGCTTCTCTAAACTTCCTTGGGTGTGTTTACATCTTGGGTAATGAGGGGTGGGGGGGCGGGCAGCCTGCTCCAGGTGGTGTCCTGACCTGGAGCTTGTATGTGCACATGTGCGCGCACACACACACACACACACATGTTTGTTGATGCGTACATGAACAAACCGTTAGCCTGGCCCGATGACCTCTAGGGGATCTACCCAGCTCTGCGTTCCAGGGCCGCCTGAGCAAGAAACACAGTGAGGAATTGAGGGCTGTGAATTGTGTGGACCCCCACAGGGGGCTCCCGGAGGAGAGGAGGAAGGGAGACCCCAGCACTGGTGGGTGTGGATGAATGTGGCTCTTAGATTAGACAGAGCTGGGTGTGAGTTCTGACCCCACAGCTGACTTGTTCCACGGCCTTGGGCAGGCATCTGACCTTACAGAGCCTTGCTGTAAGGCTTCCTCTTTGGACAAATAAGTTCTTCCAGGACTCCTGACAGGACAGGGACAGGATGGCTAGATGTACCTGATAGAATGCGAGCTAGACATAATGGCTGGGGGGCCAGAGGTGGGGGTGGTCAGGAAGCTCTCAGCAGGAAGCTCAGGGGGACTGGAGCAGGGGGAGGGGAGGGAACGCCAAACACTCTCGTGGAGAGGAGTGATGTAAAGCACAGCCCTGGGCGCCAGCCCCAGCAGGACCCCAGCACAGGGTCACAGGCAGAAGATGAGCAGGGACAGCAAAACAGCAAGGAAAGGGTCTTGTTCAAAGAGCCACAGCGGGGGCCCGGGGCCCTCAGATACCACTTCTCTGGCCTTTCGGAGAATCGGAGACTTTCCAACCTAGGAGGATGGCACAGGTTCTTGGGGAAGGACACGAGCTGGCCCTGCACCTCGGCCTCGTGGAGAGCTCAGGGCCCCCTTCTCGAAGGAACTCAGGGCCCATGGGGCAAACTGGGCCTGTTTGCTCCCTGGGTGCGTCCCAGGAAACCAAAGCCAAGGTTTCCAACACCAGGCTGCCCGTCTGCCTGTGAGTGGAAACTTCGTTCTCCGACCCAACCAGATAGAAGAAAGCTTTCTTCTATCCAGCCACAATTTACCTGTTTGGCCTGAGAAGGGGTTCCCTCTTGCCAAAGAAAAGCTGTTTTCTTCTCCTGAAACTGGGCCCTGTGTTTCAGGACTATGTGTTGTGAAAAGGAAACTGTTTGGAGCCATTTACTGAAATTTGCCTTTCAGACATGGTTAGGGGCCGGGGTCCGCTGATGGAGCTGACAGCCAGCCTCCTGTCGCCTGGTGGGCCAGACCCAACACCGGCCAGGTCTCTGGGCACCCAAAGGGTTCATCAAGGCTCTTGGTGACCCGCTGATCAGAGCCCTATGGGCTGCCGGGCTCCCACCTGCCCCTCTTCTCCCTGCCAGCCTGCATGCCCTCCCCAGGTCTGACGGAAGCGGTGCTCGGTCACTGTGCCCTCCTTCCCTGCCTGGGGAAGGGGCGTGTGAACCAAATATGTCACAGCCAATATGGCCACAGCTGTGCCTTTGCTTGGGCAGGCGGACCGACCAGGGCTCTGCAGATAGGACAATCCCAGTAGACTAAGCCTAATCCAGGAGCCAGTGCCTGAGAGTCAATGGGCTTGATGCTTATCTGCTCAAAATCTTAAACTAGTTCACACACTGAACCTTAAGACCACTGGGCGTGGTCGACCTTTCTTCGGTGACTGAGCCTGGCTGAAGGAGAATCATGAAGTAGCCATTGCAGGAAGCAGCCTGATGCCTGGGTGACCCTGGACAAGCCCTCTGCCCTGTACTCCGGGCCTTGACCCCTTGTTCATTACCTGGACACTCAGAGCTCAGTCTGCATATTGAACACGAGGCCTCCCAGGCCCTGTGCTGTGGGGGCTGATCCCTGAGCCCAAGCTGGCTGCCATAGCTTGGAACAGTCTTCCCTGGGACGGCCCAGGTGCTGGGTGACATTGATCACCAAGGGTGGACATTCTGGCCACAAGTCCTGCGGGTGGAGGTTAGGAGACTCTCCTGGGTACAGCAGGCACTGTGGTGACAGACAGGCCGAGGAGGGGGGCAGGGGCGGAAGGACACATAGCAGAGGCCGGAGGCAGCGACACAGCAGGGCGATTCCTGCAGCTGCTGCTGTCCAGCAAGGCTGGATGAGACGGGCTGTGCGGACCGGTCTCCTTGCACAGTGCCAGACCCAGACCCAGGCCAGGGAGCTCACACCTGCCATTTCCTCCCAGTTTCACCTTCTGCCGTGGGACAACTGGGTGCATCCCAGGACACTAAAACCAAAGCTGACTTTGCCCACTCTACCTCAAAGAAGCTTCTATTCCCTCATCTTTAAAACAGAGGGAGGAGATACCCTTTTTTGAGACTGTAAGTGAGAAATGAGATCTGCTCAGATGGCTCTAGGAGCCCTATGCAGGAGGCTTGTCTGTGACAGGACAAGCCAGGCCCACTGGCCACTCTCTGCCTTAGAGCTGGACTTCGGGCAACAGCATGCCGGGCCAGGGGGGACCCTGGGTCAGCAGAGCACCCGCCTCCGCCCCGCCCCGCCCCCACCTCCAGCTCACCTGTCCTCGATGCGGACCCACAGGTCATTGAACTGCCGTGGCCGCTGGTGTTTGTTCTGCCTCTTGTGCCACTTCTTCTGCCGCCCGAACTCCTCCAGCTGGCTGAGGCTGTCAGGGAGCAGGAGGTGAGGGGACAGGGCAGGGTCTTCCTCCTCAGGGGGCGCAGTGGGTGTCGCCGAGGGCACTGGCGGGACAGCGGTGGCCGGAGTCTCCGGGGCCGGGCTGGCCGAGGTACCTTCAGGAGGGGGTGCTGGGCTCCGGGCAGCTGGGCTGCAGAGGGTAACAGTGCGTGAGACACACAGGGCGCAGGGCCCTCTGGGGGCCAGAGTGCGATTCCCTGGGAAAGGAGGAGATGCCGGGCTGGCCAGAGTGACCAGGACAACTGGCACCTGTCCTCATTTATTGATTCAGCACATCTTTATGGAGAGTCTGCCCCACAGCAGCCACTTTTCTGGGAACCGAGCTTTCGCAGGGCTGCAAACCGGTGTTTCCCTGCCTTCTCTGAGTGTGCATTCCAAAATCACTGGGAAGTAAGACATAGGGAGGGACATCAAACAGAGCTACCTGCTGAAGAGAAAGATGAAGAAGAGACAGGAGAGAGCATGGGGAGGGTGCTGGCCACTGCCAGGTGACGTATGGGCCCAGGCCAGGCGAGGGTGTGAGCCACACGTGGGTTTCTGGGGGCGGCTCATGTTGGTCTGGGTCTGTTCATTCAACCTGTTCTCGGGCTCAGGGGTGCTGGTCACTTTGGTGTGACTGCTGCCTTGGGCTGTTACAGCCTGCATCTCAGAGGGGGCATCCTGAAGATGGCACAGTTAACACAGGCCAAGTTCTGAGAACAGCGGCTGGCAAACGGCAAGCTGATGACACACTCAAGCAGTTAACACTAATTACAGAGTCCATGCTACCAGATATAACATAGTCACGTATTACTGCAATGCCATGGTCCAACGGTCCAGTCAGGCACCTGCTCACTGAGCCTCTTTTCAGGGGAGGCAGGGCAGAGTAGATCAGGTGGAGATGGAGCTGAGGGTGGGGAACTGTGGCTTCGACTGGACACTGCAACTTGCAGGCTGTGCCTGTGGCAGGTGACAGGATTACACGGAGCAGCAGTCTGCTGTCACCTGGGAGCAGCGCGCCCGACCCCACAGGGTTGTCACAGGATGAGCAGCACCTGGCACATGGCCAGCCTCTCTGTGGTGCTGGCCCATGAGCGAAGGACCTGGCTGCAGCAGGCCCTGCAGCACAGGCGTGGACCCCAACCCACACCGAGGAGCACTCGCATGCTCCCTGGCCTGGGAACAGCGCCTGTTCCCCTCTTTTGTTTTCTCTTCCTTTCTGTGGCCTAAATGGAATTCCTGGGGAGACATCTGACCCTGGGGGAAGTGTGGGCAGGGTTCAGGAACTGTCAAGATGAGAGCACCCAAGGAGTCAGCAGCCTGTCCCGCCGCTCCCGCATGCAGTGTCGTGGGGGATTTCTTTCTCCTTGAGAGAGAGAAGGCCGAGGCTCAGTCTGTCCTCGCCCAGCCCCCATGGCAACCCAGATTCCCAGGGCCTGGGAGATGCCGCAGCTGCTGGGGAGATGATTCAAAAAAGGCAGACAAAAGATGGACCCAGGAAGCACCTGTGGCTGGGGAAGGCCCACATTGTTAGGGCTGCTTTGGCACCCTTCTTACTCCACCGAAGGGCCTCCAGCTGCTCTCAACACTCAGGCTGAGAGGCCTTGGAACAGGGCTCTGGGGGGAGAAAGGGAGGGCCCCTCCCTAAGCCTGAGCCCTGAGCTGAATAGGAGCCGGGCAGTCTCTCCGGGCCCCCTCTCCTAGCCTGACCTGGCTGACACAATGCGTTTCAAGGTGAAGGTCCCTGGGGCTGAGGGGGTGCTTGAGGAATGCCTCGCTGCACTCAAGTGCTGAGAAAGAGCAGCCTTGTCAGGCTGACTCCAGAGATGAGGAGAGGAAGGCGTCTACCACGAGGGGCCTCTAAGTTCCCCGGGGGGTCACGGGAAGCAGCTGCCAACCTGTGGATGGTCTGCCCTGCGGGCGTGTGCTCCACCTCCAGCCCTGCCTGCCGCAGCACGTCGATGACGGTGTTGTTCCCCAGAAAGTGACCTGGAACACAAGACACAAAGTGGACTCAGCCTCATACCAGGCAAACTGCAATAGGGGACACCCCAGGCTGGGCCCACACCAAAGCTGAGGTGCTAGCCTCTGAGGCAGGTTAGCGGGAAGATGTCCTGGTGTCACCCTGCCCAGGCCCAAGCCCTGGCTCTGCTGTTCACTGACTGTGCCTCCTGGAGGCTCGGTTTCCCCATCTATGAAGAGGGAACAACTGTCGTGGTGGCCTGCAAGGTCGCGGGTTACGGAGGGCGGGCGTGGAGTAAGGGCTAGGGCTCTATCACTGCCTCAGACCTCGGATGGTCATGCTAGGCTCAGTGCTAAGGAGACTCCTCCAAGAAGCCAGCAAGCCTCCGCCAGTTCTACGGCTTCGGCTTCGTCAACTCGAAGCTCCTTGTTCTATGAACTCTTGTCTGTCTCCTCACCAAGCACCGTGGATCCCTGCCCTGCTAGGGCCTGGTATATGTTGCGTGTTGGCTGGGTCTGAGCCTTCACCGACTCATTTTTGCACCATTTATCCAGTTATTTATGGACTGACACGACGGCAGGGGCCACAGTCACCCCCACGCTGGCCTGCTCCCCACCTGTGGCTGGACACAAGCCGGCTGGAAGTGAGCGGGTGTGGTGGCCTCCCGTCCCCAGACTGCTGCGTGAACTCCACTCCCAGCCAAAACCTCTTGAAATCCACTCCTGGCAGCAAAGGCCATTCCTTCCTGGCCTCCATGGAGACCCCTCTAAAGACTGGGCCTCCAGACCCAGCAGCGTCTGCCTGAGGATTTCAAGAGCCGCCAGAGAAAACAGCCTGACTCAGGCCGCACAGGGGCGGGATACCACTGGCGTGCTGGCTGTTCCAAAGCACGTTCCTGGCCCGGGAGGGGTGGGGAGGGCGAGGTTCGTCTCCTGTCTCAGGGTCTAGGTGGTGCCTGCTCCATTCCCTCCACCTCAGCGATTCCAGCCCCTTACTGTGAACTTTAAAGCCCTGAGTAGAAGACTTGAGATGCTTTGACAAGCTAGAGGCAATCAGCAGTGGTTTTTTCCTCCAGTTCCTGCTTCAAGGCCACAGCTGCCGGCACCTTCTTCCCTCCCGCCCAGCGTAAAGCAAAGCGTCTGTCCTTCCCAAGCAGCCACTGCTCTGGACTGGGCAGTGCCACATTCACGCCGGCGCCCATGGCCTACGGCCTTCCCACCCTTCTTGTTTGGGGTTTGGTTTTATGGGGCCCACAGTTGTGTTGGTCAAACCAGTATATTCCTGGGGCCCCAGGCCCATGGTGCTGCCAGATGAGGGAAACAACCAGATGAGGGAAACAAATATACTTTTTGATTTTTTAAAATTCTTTTTAATGATTTATTTATTTATAAGAACTGGGGTACAGGCCAGAGGTTTGGGGGGTGAGGATTCACCCGAGACAGAGTGGAGAGCAGAACAGGCAGATTGAACAGGCTGTTTGGCTTACTCCTGCCACTGTTTCTTCTATCTCCTGCTCCGTGAATGTGGGTATCCCCGGGAACCTGACAGCCTCTTTTCTTCTCATTCTACTCCTCACGACTGTGGACAAATCATCGAGCCATCTGGTTTCAATGACCACACAGTGCTGACCAGTTTGGAAATGCTACCTAAGCCAGACCCACCTGAGCTAAGGACACTCCCTCCCCCAGTATCCTCTAGAACCCATAAAACTCAATTCACTTTCCCTCCCAGGTTGTGTCTCAGTACAGCTCCTTTATCCAGGTCAGATGTGGGAGGCCTCCCTGCCGCCACGCCTCCCCTCACTCACAGGCCACTAGTCCTCGGAGTCCCCTGATTTCATCTCTTAAATCTGCCTAACTCTGGCTCAGGTTATCACCTTCCTCCCTAATCACCACAGACACCCTCCTCTGGGTTCTCTTCAGGCCACCCTCCTCCCTGCAGCTGGAATGAGTTTCCCAGACCCCTATACAAATTCTGCCAGAGTGTGTTCTCAGCAAGACACTTGAGGAGAGATCAGGGACTTTTGGGGGGCATAAGACATCTCTGTCCCCAGGCCTAGCCCAAGTCTGGCACACGGTGGTGACTTGGTGAATGTTTATTGAATGAATGAGTGACAAAACCTGTTACTCCATGTCCTTCCATGATCTCATCGTATCCTCAGGAGGCCTGAACCTGCCCATCATCTCCCCTGGCAACCCTCAACTAGTCTCTTGGTGACACCCCTCCAGATTCCACCAATCCCAGGAACTTGGGCCTTCGACGAGCCTTAGTCAGGGTGCGGAGACTGGCAGACAGGGTTCAGGCTTGCTTCCAAGGTCAGAGATCCTGAAAAAGCTACCACACCCATCCTGGAACCTGCTAGAAGGTTGTGGAAAGTTTCCAGAGGAGCCCACAGTGTTGAGGCTGAGCCTGCATGACTCGCCCAGGCTCCTGGGGTCTCCTGGCCACTGCCCAGCAGCTCCTTCCAGCACTGACAGCTGTTCTCTGGCCAGCTCTCTGCAGGAAGGCACGTTCCGTTTCATCTGCTGAGGGTGGGTAGATGAGAGAGGAGGAAAGCGAGGCAGGCAGTGGGAGGTGGGAGACATGGAGCCCAGAGACAGAGAGGGAGAGGATAGAGAGAGCAGTGAGAGAGATGGGAGATGTTGAGAGAGGGAGGGTGGGGGAAGAGAGGTCCAGGACTTAGGAGGAGAAAGGGTCTTGGGAGGCAAGAGACAGAAGAGGTACAGCAATAGAAATGGTAGAGCGTGAGAGAGAGAGAGAGAGAGAGAGAGACAGAGACAGGAATAGACAGAGAATGGAGAAAGGGAAAAAGTGGAGAAGAGACAAGAACCCAGAAATTAAAACCAGGGAGTGGGGGAGGAGAGAGGAACCTACTGAGGACATCAGGGAAGGCTTCTTGGAGGAGAAGCCCTGTGGCCAGGACGCCCAGCATGGGCAGGCGTTGGATGGAATGCAGGAGCCAGCTGGCAAAGGGTGGTGGAGGGTGGAAGGTCTTGGAAATGGTGGACCTGTTTGGTGGTCACGTCCCCTGACTTCGCAGGCCACAGTGCCCTGAAGAGCACTCTTGTGTACCATGAGGCGCGGTGCCAGCTCAGAGCCCCCCTGCTCCATGCTGAAAGGGCCTGTCTCCCGGCACATGTCTCAGCGGACAGGGCCTGGGCGGCCAGAGAAGACTCCTGCCCCGGGTTAGGGCAGAAAGCCAGGCTAAATGACCGACTGGCTGTGTGACCCCGAGCTGTTCTCTTCACTTTCCTGGGCCTCAGTTTCCCCACCAGGTCTCATGGGTCTCCCCCCTCCATCACAATTCCATCAGTCAATGACCGGAACACAAGTTCCTGCTAAGTCAGCCTCCTGGGTGCACATGGCCTCTCAAGTGCTGTTGCGTTTCATCCTGGCAACCTCTCCTGTTGCCCCCAGGTTTCACAGGAGGAACCTGCAGGCCCAGGGTCACCCAGCTGGTGAAAGGCAAGGTTTGGGCCAGCTCACACCCCTTCCAGCACACCTACTTTGCAGCACTGGCAGCGGGAAGGGGTCCCGAGTCCCTGGTGGGGGCAGGAAGTTGTCAGCAACATATGGACCTTCCAAGGTTCACCAGAGTGGTGAGAAGAGTGCAGAGAGCTTAGCAAGAACAATAGGCCAATTAACGGGGTAATTCCAAGACAGTGTTGGGGGGCTGGGCGGTGGGGGGGAACCAGATGTTCCCACAAAGGCTCCAAAGTAACAGGGCTCCCCTCAGCCAGCACACATGTTTTTTCTCCAGTGACTGCCTGGGTTTCCAGTTTTCTCCTCCTGGAAGAGGGCTCCCAAGCCCATATTTATGTTCCGTCTGAAATTAATGCAAGGGAAACTTTCAAATGTTAATCTAGCTGCCAGAATCGGTGGCCGGATATCAGGCAACAGGGGTGTTTGTTTTCCCGAGGAAGTGTGACAGGAGGCCAGACAGACCAGGGGACCCACAAGCGGGGTACTGGGGGGCTGCTGGTCTCCCAGGGACGGTCTGATGGGACATCGGCAGAACTGCGCTTCCTTTCTCCTGCTGGGCTGGCCCAGGGCAGGCCGGGCCTTTCAGTCAGCAGGGACTGAGAAGATGCTCTCCTGTACCCAGTGCTCTGCCAGGCGCTGAGACCTATGGCTCCCACCCCGGACTGGCCTGCAGATGACCCCATGCCAGCACAAGCTCTGCAGTGAGAGAGGGATGCTGCGGGCCAGCAGGACCTTGACTAGGGGGCCTGCAGGAGGGGCCTCAGGTGAGCTGGAGGAAGAGGAAGGGTCTTCCCAACAGCGGCACCAGCTGTGGTTCTGAGTTGTCCGAATATAAGTTGAAAGGTGAGGCAGGGCAGGCGGGAAGAGCCCTGGGTTTTGATCTGTGGCAGGACAGGACTCGGGCAGGTTTCGGCTGGGACCAGAGAACACTCGCCAGACAGCTGTCCACTCCTGCGAGGGGTTGACGCCCCATCCATGGAGGTGTGCAAATAGTCTTCTCGGGCCTGCACGGACAGGATTTTGGCACTCTGGGGAGCTGGGCATGTCTAGGTGGAACCTGGTCTCAGGCGGTCAGCCCGACTGTGCCGTGAGTAACGCAAAGATGGAAGCAGGCGCCAGCAGGCAGCCGCCCCCGTCTCCCGTCTCCCCCACCTCGATGCATGGCGCGCTTTGGCTCATTTTCTCATGTTGGTTACCGCCCAACAAGCCGCCCGAGCTGACAGAGTTTGTCCATTAGCACATGGGCAGAAAGGGGTAGAGCTAAGGTTCGCCTTATGCCCACATAGAGCAGTTTTTTCCTATCCCCCACTTCCCCACCACCTCCAGGAGCTGCTTCTGGGTCTCTGAAATGTATGTGGTGTTACTTGACAGTTGCCCAAGTTAGGGGCCACTGTTAAGGCTTCCCCCAATTGTGTACTCCTTCTTAAGGCCTCCCCTGCCAGGCCGCCCCTCTAGCCAGCTCTTCTAATTCAACTGAAATCTTCAGGTTAGAGTCTTTCATTTCCAATGGACCAGATCTTCTTTCAATGGTACTTGGTGTAGGGGTGAAGAAGCCGCCAGCATACTCCCCACCTGGTGCCACGGGGGGCTTCACCTGCATGTGCCCATGGGCCTGGAGCTAGCATAATTCTCTGACTCACAGGCATCTTCCATGTCAGACCCGGGGGACCCTGAGATGGGTCACACTTGGCCCCTTTCTCCTGGGGTCTGAGACAGCTCTAGGCCAGGCCACCCTGTGCAGAGGGATTATTTCCCGTCAGCACAGGGCACCTCGGGGAGACAGAGCCCGTGATGGGTTCTGTGAAATGCCAGGGGCAGTACCCCGCCGGGCTCTCTTTCTCTAACCTCCAGAGGCCCCTTTCCTAGAATGCCAGCATCCAGGACCCAAGGAGGGCTCCCCATTGTCACTTGCAGGGAGGGGCCCACTCACTGTCTCTGAGACTCACTCTGGGTGGCTCCCTGCTGGGTCCTGGGAGGCCACGTTGCACCTGTGCCACCTCTCGATGGCCCTGCTCTTGCCTGAGTGGGAGTCCTGTCCTTGGGTGGGGGAGGACTCTGAGGGAGCATGGACCTCGGAATAACAATGACAGCCCAAGTCATGATCATCTGGCTGCAGCACAGGCCCTGAGCTGAGCCTCACCTGCCAGTTACTGCCTTTCAGAAACCCAGGGAACCTGGTCCCAGAGCCCATGCTCTTTAGCTAGGACATTTTTTCTCCTTGCCCTCCCCACACTGCCCAGCATGAGTGCTAAACCCACAGCCCACGCTCCCCAAATCCGGGCTCCCATGGAGAGCCAGCCAGGGTAGGAGTCCTCCATTCTCCCCTGTTCCAGAACAGAGTTGGCTCCAGTTAGGGACAAACCAGCAGATGGGAAGTTCCACTGGCTGGCTGGGCTGAGACCGGAACAGTGACTCTGGCCAAGGATCGGAGCCTGGCGCAGGCATGCCAACTGCCAGATGTGTACATGGGGGTGGGGGTGGGGGAGGGGGGGGGTCGGTTTGCAGAGGGCCCTTTGAAGCAGCATCGGAAATTCTGAAACACTTCCGAATGCTGTGGCCTCCCCTCCAGCGTGGAGAGGTGCTGCCCAGGGGTGTTTGCTTGCTTGGGAGAGGAGAAAGCTGGGCGTGCGTTGTGCTGACACCTGCTGGGCCCCTTGTATTTAAGGGGAGAAGGGCCCATGCTGCTCTTCTGTGCCCTTGAACTCTGAAGGGCTTTCCGCTCCCGAGGCCACCAAGTGGAGAAGGCAGAAGGAGGTGGGTGTGGGCCTTGTCCTGAGGGTGGGGATGATGAGGGAAATTTTAAAAAGTCTCACCTCCTCCAGGAAGCCTTCCCTGACTTACCTGGACTCTTCTAGTGCTATTCTTCAGCCATACATGGAATTAGTGATGTGGAGCTAGGAAGGACCTTCACCCTCATCCTGTTGAAGTTCCTCACTGGGTCTTGGAAGGGCTGGCTCTGAGAAGGCTACAGGGAGGTCTCGGTGTGCAAGGAGACTCTGTGACACCAGGCTGTTTCCCTTTCCATAGTCGTGTCTGTGACTAACCTCTCTTTTTACACTACTTTATTTTCTCTCTCAGGTTCCTCCTAGCTCTAATTCCTCCCCTTTCTAAAACTCTCTTGCCCAGCGCTGAATTCCCTGTCCTCTGGGCTCTGGCTAGACCAACACCAGTGCCCACGACTGTTTCCAGTTGGCTTTGAGGTCTTGCCACTCCACCCTCACATTTGAAGGGGAGATGCGTTGCTGAACCCTGTGGGTTCCCCCCGTGGGCTCTAGACCAGTTTCGCCTAGCTCTGAGGTGAGCTCAGACCTCTTTCTGCCCAGCTACAGGTCCCATGAGAGTGGACCTCAGAGGTCCTGCACTTTTGAGGCCCTCACACGTGTCATGGCCATGCTGGAGGTGCAGAGGGGACACCAGGCAGTCAGGTGAGCCCTGGTTCTTGCCTTTGAAGTACCTGGGGTTGAACGAAGAAGGAGGCTGACATCAAACGTGGGCATGCCCCAAGACCACACTGGGGTCCCCATAAGGACCCTGTGAGTCCGACTGCTTGACTGTTACCCAGCTGACCTGGGCAGGCAGTGTCTGGGTGCCTGTCAGGGGGAGTGGGGGTGAGCGGCATGTGTGCTTACGGGCACAGGCTGTAAGCCGTCTTGTTTCACTTGTGCAAGAAATACATGCTGGTCTCTGCAGCTTCTGGGGCCGAGCTGAGTTCCCAGGGGAAGCACATGCGATGTCCCGGCCCCAGTGTGGACAGCCAGAAGGAAGAAAGCGAGAGGGAGAAGCAGTGGGAGAGAGATGAGATGGCAGGGGAGGGAGGCCGAGCAAGCCCTCACCGGGGTGTCTGGACTTCCTTTTGCACAAGGAGGCTAGAGTCTTCAAGAAATGTCAGGTCCATGGTCCACCCTGAGATGCTACATCTTTCATATTAATTGCCATCACAATAACGATGATAATCACCGTAGCTGTCATTTTGAGCTCTACTGTGTGGCAGGTTATTTAAACACTCCCACTAATCTTTATTACTCTGGGTAGAAGTTTTCAGTTCATCAAAGTGTTACTGCTATCACTGCCCATTTACAGAAGAGGGAGTTGAGCTTTGAGAAGGTTCTGGGCTGAGCTCTGAGAAGGTTCTGCAGCCTGAAGAGGGCGGGGCCAGGACTGGAGCTGGGGCTGAGGGGTACGGAGCCCTCCTGCCCCGTGGCCATCATAGGCTTGGTCCTGGCTTCCCTGGCCAGGCCGGACGCTGGCCAGGGCAGTGGCAGCTGGTTTCCCGGCACACAAAGCAGCCACAGAAAGTGTCCTGGTTGGGGCAGGGTTAGGCCCCTTGCCCAGGGGGATGGTGATGGATGACCCCAGGAGAAGCCCCTTGGGCCCCCCCCCAGTTCTGCTGGAGGCTGTGCGGTTGTCCTGCCCCATTCACAACCTCAACTATCCCCTTTATGAGGCAGAGGACAGGAAAGGATCTAGCAAGTCTCCCCCGACCCCGAGCACCCCACTGCTCTCTCCCCAACCCCTTGGGTCCTAACCTGCTCCGAAGGCAAAGAAGCAGATCTTGTCCTCATTCTCCTGCAGCAACGCCATCACTCGCCTCCCCATGCGCTCGTTCCTCTTGTAGATGAGCTCCTGGCGGAAGTAGCTGTCGATCTCCTGGGCCGTCACCTGCTCATGTGGGGGCAGGGTGGTGTTGATAAAGTTGGGCAGCTGGAAAGGCAAGAGAGGGGCTGCCTTCAGCTCGCCATGGCCTCCAGCATGGTGGGCCGAGGCGAGGCCAAGGAACTGAGGAGAGACTGAGAAACTGAAGAGGCTGAGGCAGTGAGTCTGATCCTTCTCTCTCTCCCCCCAACCTCCAAACCCTTGCTCACAGGCTGTCGTCTATCTGGCACCTCTTCTCTGACTCCTGTGACCTTACCGACCCCAGCACAAAGCACAAGGCAGGTGGCCAAGCTGGTGGACGGGCTAGCTAGGGACTGCGGCACGAAGACCCTCATGCATTGCAGGTGTTGGTTTCTCAAGGTCATACAGCCCAGCCTAGGGCTTCTGCAGCCATTGCCAAGTTGGCAATATTTTTTTCTGAGGGAGATGGAGATGTGAAACCCTGAGGGCCTCGGAGGAGGCTGGGATAGTTGTCTCTGCTGTCTGCTGGTCAAGGGTGAGTGTGTTCTTCCCTAGAGGGAGGAAAGGCTCATCTCTGCCAGACAGGTCTACTGGCTGTTCTGGGATGGATAACCATAGGACAGGGGACTCTAAACTTGAGCAGTGCCCAACCTGCACAGCTGTATCAACCTGCACAGCTGTATTAACTGCACAGCTGTATGCTGCAGCCCCACCGGTGCCTGATCAGCATCAGCACAGTCAGTATTGGGACTGTTGGCAAAGGGATAAGTGAAGGGATGTTTAGTCCTTCCCCTGGCATGTCTGGGATGATGGCAAAGCAGGCCATACTTGGAACTCTGGGAAACACTGCAGGCTTCTAGGTGGGGTATGACTCCGAAGGATCTCTGGAGATGGCTCTCGCCCAGGCTTCTCTCCCTTCTGTGGCTATGGGAGAGACTGCGATGAGGGTATACCAACAAATGTTTATTCAATCCTGAACGCATGGATGGACAGATGTCTGAGAGGCAATAGGGGTGGTTGTGAATGCGGGTCCTGGAGTCGGGCAGCCAGGAACACTTGGCAGGAGACAGGGGGCCTTGGGTGGTGGACCCAGGATTTTAGAACTTATCATGAGGGCGAGAGGAGGGCAGTGGGGCCATGCCCAGGCTTCAGGGTTCTGCTCACTGTCCACACAGCCTCTAGGATTCAAATCCAGTTAGAGTGCCCTGGGCTGCACTCAATGTGGACTTCTCCTTCCTTGGGCTTTCCTGTGCCCAGATGCTGCACCGAACCTCCCTGTTCTTACAGGCTAAGCTTCTAGGGTCCAGGCCCCAGAGCCACACACACCAGCTCAAGGCTGCTCTTTGCCCCTTGGTAACAACGAATAAGTCCCATGACATCGGACAGATTTCTTCCCCTCTCTGAGCCTTGATGTCCCAATCTGTCAAACGGAGAGGCCAACGGCACTTCCTCACATGGCTGAACCGGCACACAGTTGGTACCATTGCCAGGTGGGCTCACATGGGCTTGGTCTTTCAAGTCAGTGGCCTGGACAGGGACAGGGGCCTCACCTGCGAAGTGTCGTGGTTGAAGATGACAGCATTGAGGTCCCCGCAGTTGTAGTGCTTGATGAGGTCCTCAGTGGTGTAGGGCGCCTGCAGGCTCCCGGCCCGTACACTCTCATGCTGCAGCAGGGTCTGGTTCAGGGCGAACAGCACCTGGGCAGAGGAAGAGAGAGGACTGAGCACGGCGCCCAGGGACCGGCCCTCCTCCCTCTGGGCTGTGGGGCGCAGACTCTGAACCAGAGAAGGTGTGTGGGGCCCAGCACCAGCTGGCTCACACTGAACGTTTTCACATTTCCCTGCTCGTCCTCGTGGTCTCTGAGCACGTCCAGCCTGTTCTCACCCCAAGGCCCTGCCAGCACAGAGCCCCCCACTCCTGCTCTGGGTGCCAACGTCTTAGCTAATGTGGCAGGCTGAGATCCTTCGTTGTGTCTGGGTTTTAGAATGATGCATGAGCTTTTCTTTCTTTCTTTCTTTTTAAAGATTTATTTATTTATGCATACAGAACTGGGGTACAGGCGAGAGGGGCAGGGGAGGTGAGAGGATTCACCAGAGACAGAGTGGGGAGCAGAACAGACTGTTACCCACTGATGAAGTGCACTGCAGAATAAGACTGTTGAAGCACACTGCTGAGGGGAGCAGCGGGCGGGTCAGGAGAGGTCTGCCACGCCATGTGGGTCACCTCTGGGGCGGGGGTCAAACTCGCACTGAAGCAGCTGCTGCTCTCTTGTAGTGCTGCGTCCTAACCCGTTGTGCCACCAGGGAGTCCCCGAGTTTTTCTTTTAAAGACTTTCTTTTTCTGGGTTTTGGGGAAGTTCTAGAATGAACACGGGCTCACTTATAATCAAGAGCACCCCTAAAGAAAGCAAAAACAGACAAATGAACAAACCAAACAGCTCACTGAGAAGACAAGGCCCAAGCTAAATGCTTCTTCGAGAAGCTGTCCTGGGCCCTCTCAGCCAGACCCAGGAGGCACCAGCATCCTGGGCCACCATCCCAGGCTCTGGGACACTGCCGCCTGCCCACCAGACCTGCAGGCCTGGGGGACACTTGCAGCTGCGCGCGAAAATTCAGACACCCAGAGCTCAGTCCTGGAGATGGCGTCTTTGAGCTGCAGCCCAGACTCTGTTCACCGGCTCCCTGAACTTCTTTCAGCTGCTGCTGTTTGAGGACCACAGCTCGAACGGAGCATAGCCTGGCTCTTGGTGCTGCCTGTCACCGCCCAAAGCCGATAAGCAGAGGCAGGACCTGAACCTACGGTGCTTTCATCTATCGTGTCACTGGCTGCTGATCTGGGAGAGTGGCAGGCACGCGCCCTAAGGAGTGTTCTGCCATCTCAGCTCAGCTGGCCTTTCTGTAATGAGTTAGACAAAGACAGTCATAAGCCAACAGCCCATCCTATTGATGTTTTAGGTATGGCCACCCTCAGCCTCCCGGTATCTTGACCCTGTTACCTCTGATGGCACCAATATCCTATACTCATTCTGGCACCGTGGGGCAGGCAGCTCAGGTTAAAGAAGAGTTTTCGTTTAAAGAAAACGGGTCATTAGTCATGGGGAGCATGCGTGCAGCTCATGGCGCCTTCCACCACCCACTGGGGTCATCTCAGATGGCAGACATCACCAGCTCCTGGACAGGCGGTGAGCCAGCCAAGCCAGCAGTTACCTGCCAGATGTTTGACCAATGTGCTCGCAGCCTTTTACAGAGGAAATAGTGTTGCGAACAAGCAGCCCTCCGGGCCCCTCAGGGGCCTGAGCACGTGCTGGCAACTGCAGTCCAGACACCTGTCTCCCTCCTTGGCTTCCTGGACACAGGAACCACCCTTCCTGGTCTTTAAACTTGGCGGCACTCACCCTGGGGCTGTGAAGACAGGGTGTCAGCCTGCCTTTTCTTTCTAAAGTTGTCCTTTCTTCACCAGCTACCCTGGACACTTCGAAGTTCAAAGCTGCTGAGGAAGTCCTGAGACAGTCCCTGAAACGTGGGCTTTCTGCATCTGGGGCAGAAAGTTCCTACCAAGTGGCCACATGGTTTCAGAACACATAGTCTCAGTGGAAAAACTCACATAGTAGGAACATACATCTTGGCCAAAAATAGTCTCCTAGACACCAGGGCCAGGCTTGTCCTCAGAATAGCTCCTCCACCCATCCTCTCCCGCTTTTGTTTCTGTTAGGGCAAGAGAGCTGGATTGCAATGGGGTGAAGCAGTCCAGCCTGCTCCCCATAATGAGCTGGCTGGAGATGAAGTCAGGCTCCACCGCCCACCTCTGGGCCTCCTCCGGGGTCTGGCCGCCACCCCCGAAATCCAATCTGTAGCCACCTGGTGCAGGGTGTCGATGGCAGCGGGTGGCTGGGGATGGATCACAGGAGGCAGTGGCCTTGTGCTCTGGACATCGCTAAGGCAACACACACTCCTCCCGCACGGCACATGAGAGGACGAACGTGTCCATGTCCAGCTGGAACCTTCCCCTTGTCCGGGGCCTGGGACACAGGCTTCCTGTGACCAACCCCGGCTGCTGCGCACACCTGCCCTGCCCCCTGGAGTCGGCCTGGCTGGTGGTGAGGTCATCTGCACAGGCGCCCAGAAGACCTGACTGAGGGGAAATGGCTCCCCCAGACCTTCCTGGGCACATGGAGTCACTTCCGCAGCCTTGCGGCCCTCAAGGAGCTGGGAGGTGTTTTAGTGACGTTGGCACGTTATATTCTGCAGGGTGCTAAGAACGGGCCTGGCGTGGAGTAAGCACTGGCGAAATGCTGGTCAGTCAAACTTGGAAAAAAACAGACCCAGATCTTCCCGGCTTGGCGCTGGCAGGGCCTTTAGAGGTCATCTGGTTCAGTGGTTTTTCAGACCTTTTTTAGACATGGAATCCTTTAAAGTTGTTATTTTCCAAAAGATCTGTACTTGGAACGCAACATGTGGAGCAGATAAAAATGGAAACTTCCCTGACTGATGTGAGAGAAGCAGCCTGCAGCCTAAGTGCTGCCAGCTCAGGGCTTCCTTGGAGCAGGGACTCCCAAAACTTCTGTGGGACACCCAGGTTCTAAGTCCCAGAACCTCGGCTCTCTTCTCCATGAATGGCGGAGGACACATACCAGGGAGCTGGGGGCCGACTGGGGGCCGAGTGGGCTCAAACCCACTTCCTGACACTCCACCCGGCCCCGCCAGCCTGGCCCCTGTTTGCTGGGTTTCTGGAAGCCCCTGGGCACAGGCCATGTTCACTCCCCACACACTGACAGGCCTGTTTTCTTTCTGGAGCCTTGTGAAATCGCCAGGGAGTATGTAGTACTAGCGTTATAGAGAGAAAACCAAGGCCAAATCCTTCTAGAGGAAGCCCAGGATGGCGCAGCCAGAGTGCGTCAGGGCCAGGGCTGAAACCCAGGCCTGCCCGGGGATGCGCCCAACCTCCTCAGTGGGGCATGGTGCCTTCTGTGGCCTTGGCGATTATCCCCGTGAGTGTCCATCTCAGTAATCGCCTGCTCCCTGCCTGTTTAGGCGGAGGGCTCCGTGAGGGCTGGGAACCTGCCTCTGTTCCCTGGGGCGCTGCAGGTACTCAGGATCTACTTGAGAAGGAAGGACGATGACCCCCAACCACGTGTTCTTTCCCTGTGCCTCCCACTCCTTGTCCATCCTTTGCAACTTATGAAGCAGCCTTCATCGATTCCCTACTAGGATTACTACGTTTATGGAGCACATACCACATGTCAGGAACCCTCTGTCACTCCGTTAGCAGATGCAAAAAACCAAAAACCAAAACTGCAGCGAAAGACATTCACTAGCTCACCAAAGGTGATGAAGCTGGAGGGGATGGAGCATGCTGCTTCCTCTTGGTTTACCACTGACCGCTGGACCTCCCTCTCTGCTCCCTAAGAGACCGTCATCAGGGGGGCCTCCCCAGCCACAGGTGGGAACCAGAGAAATGGAGGGGAGCACAGGCCCCAAAGCTGCATGTTGTGAAAGGATGTCTGTCTAGTCTAGGTGAGGTTCCCAGGACTAGGCTTCAAAGTAACAAGTACTCCTTCGCCAGTATTCAAGGTGCATCCAGCAGGCACTGGGAGGCTACCCTCATGCATTCATTCAACAAACATTTACTTTCTGTTGATCCTCTGCAGGAATCTGAGATTGGTAGGTTAATGAGGGGTGGTTCCTTCCCGTATAGAGTTCATTTTAGTGGCAGATATACTAATAGGCTATTGCACAGAGGTTGGGGAGAGGGGGTTCCAGGGTTGTGTGCACAGACACAAGGAGCCTTCCTGATTTCTGTGCCCCACCCCATTTGCCCCAAATTCCCAAGCCTGGTGCTGCACACAGGCCCCCAGGCTTCTGCCCCTGGCCACTTCAGAATAACAAACCCTCCTAGCTTGTAGCCTCAGTGGCCCCCTCTATGATAATGTTTATGATAAAGCCTTGACATGGAATAACAAACACAGGGTAAAGACTAGAGCCGCCGTACCCCCACCCCTTCTCCCTGCCCAGACCATGTGGAGGCTCAGCCACCAAGAGCCCCTGAACACCCCACTGGCTCCCTCGCCTGGGCTCGCCAGCCCAGGAGCTGGCCCGTGGCATCGGCTGAGTGTAAGCCTGGAATTTAAACACATCTTCACACTTGGGCCCAGGGCGGAGAGAGGCAGGCGCCAGGAGGGTGGGGGCAGGTTTATTGTTCCACATTAGTCTAATAAACAGTCCCGGATGGCTGGAACGGTGAACACCGAAGCCTTGTGTTGCCTTGATGGCCCAGCAACATCACCCCGTGAGAAGGCAGCGGGACCCCTTTTGTCAGGAAGGACATACATGGGGGCCCAGGTTCCTAGGCACAGGCCTGGCTCTCCAGCAGGAGCTCTGAGGAGGGTGATGCTCGCCCACCCTGAAGCACAGGGACTTCTCAGCCAGCCCCTAACCTGCTTGCAGAGCCAGATGATGGGGGTCGGTCAGGGACAGCCAAAAATCCTGTCTCGTTGAGCCTACCTGGTAGGGGCTCAAGAGAGTAAACTATGCTATCAGCACATGATTAATATGACACTCACATGCATAACAATGGATCCACTGAAATGAAGTGAAGACCAGCTGGCTACTCTGGGCATCTCATGCCTCTGACTCAACAGAGACAGGAGTAAGCGTGCTGGTGGGCGGGGGCCTGCCTCCCTGGGGGAACGGGATTGCCA